TATGGTTCTCACTAAAATGAAAGAGACTGCTGAGGCTTATTTGGGAAAGAAGGTAAATATTTCTAGAACAATGTTAAGTGTTTATTTTTTTTAAAGATTATTTTATTCTTGGTTGATTTGTGGATGCCTTATGGTGTTAAAACTTTGAATCTGAATGACATCCATGTTTGTCAGGTTTACTTTTTTAATGCTTGACCATAGGCCAAACAAAATGGCCAGATACTTTTCATGTGTTATCATTTCATGCATGCAATTTCTTGGATATAAAGTTGTATATAATATACTCTTCCTACCAGTAAACTGGCATAGATACTAGAGTGGTAGTTTGACTAATTTAAATAAGGGTTAAACCATGTATAATAATACACTTACTTTCTTTTGATATTCTTTTAGGTTACCCATGCAGTTGTTACTGTACCAGCCTATTTTAATGATGCCCAGCGGCAAGCAACCAAAGATGCTGGAACTATTGCTGGCCTGAATGTTATGAGGATCATCAATGAGCCGTAAGTATCAAATTCAAGGATATGGCATATTTGCCAATAGGGGAAACTTGAACCTGACTAAGCATTTTTCCCCTTTTTCATTCAAACAGTACAGCAGCTGCTATTGCTTATGGCCTGGATAAGAGGGAGGGAGAGAAGAACATCCTAGTGTTTGATTTGGGTGGTGGAACCTTCGATGTGTCTCTTCTCACCATTGACAATGGTGTCTTCGAAGTCGTGGCCACTAATGGAGATACTCATTTGGGTGGAGAAGACTTTGACCAGCGTGTTATGGAACACTTCATCAAGCTGTACAAAAAGAAGACTGGCAAAGATGTTAGGAAAGACAACAGAGCTGTGCAGAAACTCCGGCGTGAAGTAGAAAAGGCCAAGCGGGCCCTGTCTTCTCAACATCAAGCAAGAATTGAAATTGAGTCCTTCTATGAAGGAGAAGACTTTTCTGAAACCCTGACTCGGGCCAAATTTGAAGAGCTAAACATGGTGTGTTCCTTGTTTTCTGCTTTGCTAATTAGATGTATTTAGCCTCTCTGAATTTAAAATAATGTGTCCAATATCTAGGTATAACAGGCATCACAATAACCATGTCTCTTATTTTAGGACCTGTTCCGGTCTACCATGAAGCCTGTTCAGAAAGTACTGGAGGATTCTGACTTGAAGAAGTCTGATATTGATGAGATTGTTCTTGTTGGTGGCTCTACTCGAATTCCAAAGATTCAGCAACTTGTTAAAGAGTTCTTCAATGGCAAGGAGCCATCCCGTGGCATAAACCCAGATGAGGCTGTTGCATATGGTGCTGCTGTCCAGGCTGGTGTACTCTCTGGTGATCAAGATACAGGTAGGTTACAAAGCTTTGGTAGTTTGATAGGAAGAATATAATTAGCAATTGCTGTATAAAACAATAAAAGCGTAAGCCACAAGTTTACCCAGCTAGTAAAGAAGACAAGTCCTAGTACAGTCTTAAGATTCTTAGCAACAACTGTGTATTTCATTTATCCTAAATTGTTTATGCCTAGAACCTAAACAAATGACAAAACAGAAAAATAAACTTTTTAAGTTTGTGGAGAGATTGCTTGTAGTGTTCTCACATCTCTTGAATTAGAACTTACCTTGATTAATTTACCTTTGCAGGTGACCTAGTACTGCTTGATGTATGTCCCCTGACACTTGGTATTGAAACTGTGGGAGGTGTCATGACCAAACTGATACCAAGGAACACTGTGGTACCCACCAAGAAGTCTCAGATCTTTTCTACAGCTTCTGATAATCAACCTACTGTTACAATCAAGGTCTATGAAGGTAATTACTTACATTTGTTACTATTGTGTTGTGCTTTAAAAGAATGTGACTCCTTGTTTAGTATACACTATAAAAATGGCTAGGTAAAGGAGAAGCTGCTGTTTTCAAGATGGGGGAGGAGGTCCTTAATTTGGTGCTGAGTGTCATATATTCAGTACTTATTTAGCACTCTTTCCCATTAGAAATAACTTCTGAGCTGGCTTCTAGAATACAAGAACAAAATCGAGTTTTCACTCGAAAACAGGTGAAATTTAGTTAAGGATTAGTAATAGTGTCACCCAGTTGCTGTCTTCTGTAGACCAATATTGAATCACTTTTGGTTTGAAGTGCCCTTGCCCCATTATGTGTTCTAATAGACTGAAATGTAGGGATCCAGAGTTGTCAGTAACAAGTTTTTCTGTGTGTAACTTCTAGGTGAACGACCCCTGACAAAAGACAACCACCTTCTGGGTACATTTGATCTCACTGGAATTCCTCCTGCTCCCCGTGGGGTCCCCCAGATTGAAGTCACTTTTGAGATAGATGTGAATGGCATTCTTCGGGTGACAGCTGAAGATAAGGGTACAGGGAACAAAAATAAGATCACAATTACCAATGATCAAAATCGCCTGACACCTGAAGAAATCGAAAGGATGGTTAATGATGCTGAGAAGTTTGCTGAGGAAGACAAAAGACTCAAGGAGTGCATTGATAGTAGGAATGAGTTGGAAAGCTATGCCTATTCTCTAAAGAATCAGATTGGAGATAAAGAAAAGTTGGGAGGCAAACTTTCCTCTGAAGATAAGGAGACCATGGAAAAAGCTGTAGAGGAAAAAATTGAATGGCTGGAAAGCCACCAAGATGCTGACATTGAAGACTTCAAAGCTAAAAAGAAGGAACTAGAAGAAATTGTTCAGCCAATTATCAGCAAACTCTATGGAAGTGCAGGCCCTCCCCCGACTGGTGAAGAGGATACATCAGAAAGAGACGAGTTGTAGACACTGATCTGCTAGTGCTGTAATATTGTAAATACTGGACTCAGGAACTTTCGTTAGGAGAAAATTGAGAGAACTTAAGTCTCGAATGTAATTGGAATCTTCACCTCAGAGTGGAGTTGAAAATGCTATAGCCCAAGTGGCTGTTTACTGCTTTTCATTAGCAGTTGCTCACGTGTTTTGGGGTGGGGGGGAGAGGAGGAATTGGCTATCTTAAAAACTGGATATAAAAACATGGGTCAGGATGTGTGTTCCCTCAGAAATGTTCTATTTAACAATTGGGTCATGCACATCTGGTGTAGGAACTTTTTTCTACCATAAGTGACACCAATAAATGTTTGTTATTTACACTGGTCTAATTTTTGTGAAAAGCTTCTAATTAGATAAAACATTCCAATTTAAGGTTCTCATTTGTGTGTACTTGGTTTGAGGTTATTTGAAATGTTGAAATAAGGAAACATTTCTGTTTAAACGAGACAAATTCCCTGGAAATATTAATCTAAAAAAAGGGGAAGAGGTTCACTGTATCCTTACCTAGTCAAGGGCCATTTCAGAGGCCAAGAGTGGAGTTTTCTTGGATATAATTAAAATTTCCTACTTCCCCCTTCTTAAAACTTCCTTTCTAGTGACTTACTATAAATGATGCTTGTARCTGCTTGGGTTATCTTTTTCTTTTTTTCATCCTTCTGAACTCTATAGTGAGCTATATCCCAGCCCTTTATATTTAGACATGGTCTTCCTAAATTGCCCACCTAGTTCCAAAGTTTGCAATCTTCCTGCGTCAGCCCTAGTTGCTGGGATTACAAGGGCAGGCCACTGTGCCTGGATGGATTCTCTTTTAAGAATTGATGGAATTTTCGTTAGATTTTTTTTCAACTTAAAAAGACTTAATTGCACACACAAAAATGGGGCCTGATCACTGATATTAACTTTTTATACACTTAGATTTTCATTTAAAATTTTTTGTGATACTGGGGATCAAATCCAAGGCTTTGCACTTGCCAAGCACACACTGCCACTTAGCTGGATTCATTTTATAATTTTTTATTTTTATTTTTTTAGAGAGGAGAGAGAATTTTTTAAATATTTCTTTTTTAGTTATCAGTGGACACAACATCTTTCTCTGTGGTGCTGAGGATCAAACCCGGGCCGCATGCATGCCAGGCAAGCGCGCTACGGCTTGAGCCAYATCCCCAGCCCCCATTTTATAATTTTAAAAAGGTAGAAAAGCTGGACTTTAAGCTCCAGCTACAGTAGAATCCTCCCTGAAATTTCTCAGTGGTAGTAGGGTGGCATCTAGATGGTGGCCTTAATAAACTATCCCACAAAGGTATTGGCTGTGACAGTARTATCTTGGGACTATTTGGATTGGCATTTTGAGCATAATAATATGTAGGTAGGTGACTAGTAAAACTCAATAAAGGTCTTTATTGTCTGGTGCTAACATGAAATCCTATACTGCCCAAGGATAAAGTATTTTGTGATGGGCAACCAGCTGAAAGATTAATTTGTTAAGGATGGTAGACTGGGGATCCAACACCAAATTTTTCTGAATACTAAAGCTTAGACTTATGCACTTCCTCAGAAGCATTTGGGTAGGCCTGTAGTGTAATAAGGTCTGTAGGCCAAGCCCCAGCAAAYGTTAAAAGTGACCTGTTGGGMTGGGGTTGTGGCTCAGGGTTAGAGCACTCTTCTAGTACTTGCAAGAAGCCCTGAGTTCTATCCTCAGCACCACATATAAACAAAATAAAGGTACTGTGTCCACCTACAACTAAAAAAATATATATATATATATATATATATATTTAAAACAAAAAATAGTGAACTGTCCCCACAGGCTATTACTACTATCAAATAGTCTGCACCTCTTTGAGGATCAACTAATGAATATTAACAAGAACTTTCAACTGGCAAATGTCTACTATCTATGACTTGTCTTTACTTAGGGTCCTCCCCCAGGACTGGGGATTAAACCCTGAGTGCTCTACCACTAAACTACTACATACATCCTCAGCCCTTTATTTTGAGACARGGTCTCACTGAGTTGCCCAGGCTGGCCTCAAACTTTTGAACCTCCTAGGAGTTCAAAATTGCAGGGATTACAGACATTTGCCACCATGGCCCACTTTTACCTMGGTTTGGTTGCTGGTAAAACCGTTTTTATAATAGAATTTTTTGCATTGGGCTGTCAAGTCATTACCTACCAAAGTAAGATGGATATATTTTGCAGAAAAAAATTGGAAGCAGAAAACAGTTAAGGTTTCTTTTAAGTAACAATAATTTTTTTTTTTTTTTTAGTCAATTACAGTCACAATACAATCATTATAGATTTCCCCTTCTGTATTCATCCCACCAAACACAAAACATAGCATTATGTCACTCTGGCTTTCCTCAGATGTGCTGCCACATGGTGCCATTCTGTCGGTGGAATCCCCTTTCTCAGTTTCACAGTTTAGGGTAACAGAATTTGAGTCTTCTTTCTCAGAAGTAGATGTCACTGGCCATGGAATGATACACATGGAATGATCCAAACGTCCAGGGGGCAGCAAAGTATCAAATTTAAGGAGAGACCATAGCTGTTTTTCTGGCAGGGGTAAAGAACAAAGGTGCATGTTATGAAATTTCAAGAGATGTTCTGTGATTTACAGCATCAGCTGAGTGAGGGAAAACAAACCCCAAAGACAGTGTTACTGCTTTAATGATGTCATTTCCTGTAAGTTCAATTTTCATTCCTTTTGATTTAGACATGGAGGAACCAAACTGAAAAACCAAGGCATTATGTCACTTTGCAAAACACGTTTGCACCACTCACCTATGTGATACTGGTACATTGTGTCCAGTGCTCCGGTAGGAGTCATTCCTCCAAAGACATATATATGTTTTCCCAAAGTCACAGCTGAGTGGGCAGCACAGCCTGCTGGGGCGACCCCTGTGGGACTGAGCTTCTGCCACTTCATGTCACCTGCAGAGAGAAAGAGTTAGCACTATACAGGCTAAAATGTGGTTTCAAAGTTATCTAATGCAGGTCATTCACTTGGAGCTCTAGAGAGGTGCCAGAGCAAGGTCTAGTGTGCATAAGAATTACTTGGAGGTGGGGCTTGAATGGGTAGTCCAGGGAGGGAGGGGAAACACTCAGTGATCTATAGTTTTTACAATTAACCTAGAGGATTCTGATGGAGCACTCTGAGAAATGTGATACAGCCTTATTTAGTGATTATCACCTTTGTTCACACCATTAACTGCCCAGAAGCAGGTAAGTTGTGTGTTTTAAATACCAAGTTATTCAGAAAGCAACTTTGTAAGCACTGGCTGGCTACTTTCAATATTTGGTTCACTTAATTCTCATAAAAGCTCTGTGAATTGCTATTATTTGTGCCTACCCYTCACCTCCCCTTTTTTTGTGTGTGTGGTGTTGGGGATTAAATCCAGGGCCTCTTGAACATGTGAGGCAAACACTTTACAAACTGAGCTATATCCCCACCCCAGCCTACCCCCTTCTTACAGATGAGCACAAGGGGATTATTAGAGAGGGAAAGAGGCTTGCTTGAGATCCCACAGCTTGTAAGTGGCAGAGCTAGACTGAGGTCCTGCTCCAAAATCTGAGTTCTCTACAACGTGCTGCCTTCCTTAGCATCTACTTCCAAAACTTTTTTTTTTTTGGGGGGGGGTACTGGGGAGCCCAAGGGTGCTCTACCTCTGTGCTACATCCCCAGTCCTTTTTATTTTATTTATTTTGAGACAGGTCTCACTAAATTGCTTAGGGCCTTGCTAAATTGCTGAGGCTGGCTTTGAACTTGTGATCCTCCTGCTTCAGCCTCCCAAGCCGCTGGGATTACAGGTGTGCCCCACCTTTCCCAGCTAATTAGAATCTTTTTTTTTTTTTAATATTTATTTTCTAGTTCTCGGCGGACACAACATCTTTGTTGGTATGTGGTGCTGAGGATCGAACCCGGGTCGCACGCATGCCAGGCGAGCGCGCTACCGCTTGAGCCACATCCCCAGCCCTAATTAGAATCTTTTAAACAAGAATTTAAGAAGCATTTACGTGAGGCAGGATATTATTAGATTTT